TTTTATGTTTTCAAACACTTTGTCAAGAGCATCCCCTCTGTAATAAATTCCTTTTCTAGTTTCTTTCACACTGTTTAGAGGCAGATCCCTTAAAAGTTTGGCATATACACTCAAATAAGATTTTCCAAGTTACAAGAATTATTATTCACTTCAAGTAATTTTATTCTTTATATTCTCTACAGATCTGAATTTTTACTTGATGAAGTCATAACAGAATGTATAATTTCTAAAAAAAAAACCAAACACAAAATCAAAAAACCACAACACAAATCAAAGCCAGCAAACACTTGGTCCCCAAAGAATAAAGCAAGCAATCAGTTCAATAAACACACTTGATTTATTTTGTATAAAAAGGGTTAAGTTTACAACTAAACTTTTATAAAAAGTTTAGCATGATTAAGTACATCATTACACTTTTTGCAGAAATAGGCATTTCTGCCACTATACAAGAAAACTCTAATTAAAGAGTTCACAAGGTTTCACTCATATATATATATTTATATATAAATATATACACAGCATTCAGTCCTAGGTTTGAGTCAAAAAGGTAATTTCTGACCACAGACTACCCTAAAAAACTGAACACTGGATCCTTCTGGTACTCACGCTCCACCTTTGGAAAAAAAAGGCAAAGTCTGCTTTAAAATGGGCAACTCCTTGCAAGATTTTTGTTTCGCTCCCCACGTTGGGAATAGTATATAAAGGAAGCCTTCCAACTAGGGAAAGGGTATTTAAGAGTCTCTTCATAAATAACTAGGTTCTCAGTCCAAGTTGAAGAATGGGGTGGGGTTAAAGATCAATCTTGATTTTCTTTTCTTCTTTATTAATTTTTAAAGGTCCTTTTAGTTAGATGTAGATTTTCCCCTCCAGATAGAGCTGAAAAACAAATTCAGCACCTCAAAAAAATCCTGTAGACATTTTCTTGTGCAAAAAAAAAAAACCCAAACAAAAAAAACCCCAACTCTCATCAGTGGAACACCTGCAAGAGATTGAAAAGAGGCATATTTAGGAGAATGCTAACAGGGCAGAGATCCGGACAGACTGGCGCCAGAGAGGAAGCCACAGTTTGAACATTTAACCAAACACTCAGAGATTGGGCAAACCCTGGCGTCCAGATGCAACACATACACGCTCACACACTCGCTCTCAAGAACACAAATTGAACATTAAAATAACATACACTGGAGAGAAAGGGCAGAAAGAGCATTCTCACTCCAATCTCTACTTGGATCTCTAAATGCAATGCTCAGAGGCGCCAGTCTGCCTCTTAGAGCAATTATTTGATTAAAAGCAGTCACTTATTTAACCGATAGCACAGATGAGACCACATCACAAAATTTAAGGAATTGTGCCAAGATTCCCAACTTAATCAGTCACTTCGGCCCAGGAAGTCCAAGACTCCAAGATAACGAGAGAATCTGCATTAAGCAGCGAGTAGTAGCACCGCAGCCTGTGCTGCTCAGTGAACCTCAGCAGCCAAACACACTTCGGGCTGTGCAGCTCGCTTACCAGCCCTACTATTTCTCACTGCTTACAAAGGCATCTCCTCATCAGCTTTTAGGACGGATTTTTTAGCAATAACCATCACACCTCCCACTCCCCAGGAAGCCACTTTTCTTTTTTTTTTTTAAAAGCCCAAGTTTCAAGAAATCAGACGCACGGCACTCACCCGATCAGTTCAGCCACAAAGTGCTTTGCTGTCGCCTGACATGAGCTCTGAGGGGAACTCGGACGCCTGCAAGAGAAAGGACACGAGGGTAAGGGGCAGCAGAAGGCTGGCCGGGATAGCCAAGCTCTGGGCTACCGAGGGACTACCAGTGCCGGCTCGTCGGTGGCCGCTGCGCTCCGCACATTCTGACAGGGACTTCAGCTCCCCCGTCTAAGCCGGCGGGGAGCCGGGCGCTCGGGGGAAGGCGCTTACCTGTAGCGAGAGGATGCTGATGTCTGTGTTGAGGGTGGTCAGAGGAGTTCTGGAGGAGGGGTTCTGCCCGGGTCTCTGGTGGTGGAGGCTGACGATGGTGGGGTGCGAGTCCAGGGCGATCTGCAGGTCCAAGATGTAGTCGATAACGTGCTGCAGGATTTCCATCTTGCTCACTTTCTTGTTCTGCGGGATGCTGGGCACCAGCTCCTTCAGCTTGGAGTAGCAGTCGTTCATGTTGTACAGCAGGCTCATGGGGTCATCCACGGGCGTTTTGCTCCGGGAGATGCCCAGGTTGTGCTCCGAGAGGCCGTTTTTCCTGACGGACCGCACTGGGCTGAAGGCTTTCAT